GCCCACGTAAGACTGCCCAATCAGCAGTCTTGATGAACCGTAACGCACTGCGTAGCCAGGTACGCCGATATCGGCGCCACGTGGGAGGCCACGCTAGCGATCCGCGTGTCCCGCGATCGAACGGCTAGGATCCATCTCACGCACGTGGACGGTTCAGATCTGTTTCTCCCTTTAAACGTGATCGAACAGTTAAGATCAAACGCGATGAATGATTCAGATTTGTTTCCCCCTTTAGGCGCAATTGAACGGTCGAGATCAAACGCGATAAATGGTCCAGATTTGTTTCCTCTTTAGGCGCAATCGAACGATTGAGATCGATCGCAATGGAAGATCCAGATTCTTCTACCTACTTGGAATTCGATTCTGAGCACCCATGTTGCCATATCGGAGCAAAATAAACGGCGGGTAAGCTAAAAACTACAGGCAAAGCCCGACAGGGCCGCTGCGACCCAAAACCCGCAATCTCCTCCTATGAGCCCCTTCCCGGTTTCCGTTTCGTGTGATTTTTTCACTGTTGTGTTCACCGTTCTGTTTTTTGCAAGTTAATCGAAGAATGAATCCCAGCCGCGAATGAGAGCCAGTGGAGCTGTCGCACCGGAAACCCTACCACTGGTAGGTTTCAGTTTTCTGATTTTTTTTTGCCCAACCGAGGCTCTCTAATGTGTTTTTCGCAGAGATATGTGTAAAATCGGCCGAAACTGATTTAAACCGGTCGAAAACAGTCAGGCCAAGATAAACCATCGCTGTGCCGAAATCCCAAAATTGGCCGAAATGGATTTTTAACACCGATTTTGAGTTTTGGGGTATTTTTTAGGTACGTGGAGCATCTGTAATCTCCGCATAAAAATTCAGGAAATCTGGAGATCACTAGGAGGCGCAGTAGAAAGTACAGTGTTTCGGATACCGATTCGGGTAAGAATCTCTCACTGTATTCCATGTTATGGAATTAAAGCTTAAAAATCAATAAAATGGTATTCTGTGAAATTTAGAAAACTTTGAGAATAATTACAGGTCACTAATGGAGCTGGAACTGATTAGTTATTTATTTGTCTTATTTAACTGATTATTTGCTTGTACAACTTTAAATACATGATAATATATTGAAATAGTTAAATGATTTAGTTGTATTTTCTTGATATATATCGCTTGTTTTGCGTGATTTACAGTTGATTGTGAAACGTAAAATTTATATACAAATGAAAAATTGCTTGGTGATGTGAATTAATAAATAGTTGTCTTACTGGATATCCTAGAAAATGGTGGATGGACCGGGTACATAGAGAACCTTACCGTGAATGTCACATCATATTGGACGGAGTATCGAATGATGGTATTTGGCACTCATACTGGATAGGATATGGGGACGACCCGTTTCACCTTCATACCAGAGGGGTATCGGTGGATGACATTTTTGGCACTCATACCGAACAAGGTATGTTATTTAAGTTATTGTCTCGATAGATTAATTTTGAAAATCTCATAACGGTAAATATGCAGTAAATAATTTTTCTTGGGGTATTTTTTCTCATGACTTTTCAATTGCCTAGACCCGTAGGCTATGACCTTGTCATGCTACATCAGAATACAACTCAGTCCCAAGTATGAGGCATCACTGTACACTATATAACCCATTGTCCCACTCGGTAAGGCAACCACAGGTACAGTAGTCAATCACTTCTTAAGTTCTGTAAAGCTCCTTTTGCAGTCTACGTTTCATTTAGACTTAATGTTCTTCTTTGTTAACCGGGTTAATGGAGCGGCTAGACTAGACAATCCTTCTATAAACCTGCAATAATAGCTTATCAACCCTAGAAAACTACGAATCTCCTTTACCGATATCAATTTTTCTCATCCAAGCATTGCCTCAACTTTTTCAGGATTTACTGATACTCCATCTCTTTATACAATGTGTGCCCTAGAAAAGTAGTCTGCTTGAGCCAGAAACCATACTTGCTCAATTTGGCATATAATTTCTTCTCCTTGAGAACCTGTAAAACCTAAGCCAGGTGGTGAACGTGTCCTTTTTTGCTTTTTGAATAGATCAGGATATCATTGATAAACACAATGACAAACTGATCTAGGAATTTTCTAAAAATCTGGTTCATCATATCCATAAAAATGGCTAGCACGTTGGTTAGTCTAAAGGGTATGACCGAGAACTCATAATGTCTATACCTAATTCTGAAAGCTGTCTTGAGA